CCTCGCAAAGCAAAGCTTATAAGTGTTTATTCGACGTTTCTCGGTTCTTTCAATTAACTAGATCGTAGTGCGATATGCACTAAAGAGCTAAACACCACTGGTACAGCAATGACTATTAAAATAAAGAGATCTTCAACTGATCAGAATACAGCGCTCCGGTCTGCAACGACTTAAGGAAGAGGAAAGATCACCGCCACCTCTCGAGGAAAAAAGCATGCATTACACTTACGGCACTAATGATCTCAGCCGTTGACGCGCCCTCAATCATCAGTCAATCAACGAATCAATCAATCAAAAAAATAGCTATAACCGAAACGATTTCTTTTCTGGATCTTGTATTTACGTAATATGTTCCTTATCGCCGATGTTGAGAATTCAGAATAACCAAAAATGCTAGTGCCTTTTGGTCTGTATGTGGACCAGAACCAGCGACCAGTCCACTGAACGCAACCGAAAGTCCACTGAATTCGATTTCACTGCATCCAGAGTCGGCTGTTTTTGGAATTGCGTTGGCCTGGATCGAAAGTGCCAGTGCGCGCAAGTGGCAGCACCGGTACGGCGCGAGGACCTCGCGTGCACAGTGCGATCGTAGGGAGGAGAGGGGGAGCGCGTCAGCTGGTAGCTACACCCCGGCGTTTCCCCTCCGGTGGCGCTGCTTATCTCCAAGGAACGACGCGGCCGCTCCCAGAGCCCCACCCTCCGCCGACTCCTGTTCACACGTACGCCGGTCTATTTGCTCAGTCCCCCTCTGATTTTCGACAAGAAACTGAGTTATTGCTAGCAATGTCTGGTGAAAAAATAGTTTGGTAAATGAAACAGTCAATAGGCGATTTCCACCACCCCTACAGTTTGATTAGATATTTTAGACGGCATGACGACAGTTTGATTAGCCACACAGTTTCCACTTTAACTTCATTAGTAATTAAGAGATTCTAAAACGTACATTACTATATTTGTATTTTATCTACACATATTACTATATTTCTTCAGTAACGGGCATTCATTGTTCTCTAAACGTACATTTGAATCATTATAGTTATGCGTTCTAGCCAAGTGTGGTGTAGCCGACGCTCTAAACTATTTTAAAAGAATTTTCATACGTTGCAAATCTCTACAACGCAAAGTCCCTAATAAAAAGAAACTTTGAACACAGTTGTCTGCCTTTTTATCTTCTGGGGTTGTACGTGAAAAGTTATTGAATGTGAGTGGAAATTAAATAATTAAAAATGTACACGACAATGTGTGCTCTCAACCCCTCTTGTCGGATGTTCTTTCGTTCTATGCCCCCCACCGGAGTTGGAGAACCTACTCCGAACACACCTAGAAGAGTTGCTCTAAAGACTGAGACTTGTTCCCGCCTGTTTTAAGGTGGCTTATAAAGAAAATTTGTATATTTACAAGTTCCTGTCCTAGAAAATACCGTTCATTTCTCACAGATTTATATTAAAATAACATTCTGCTGTTGCAATTATCCTACAAAAGGGAATTATTTCATTAGCATTATGTATATGACAAAAGTATCCTACAAAACGTTAATTTTCCTACGAACCGGCAACACTGACAACGAACCATTTTCTTTTGGGTGATCAAACTCCCACATACTGTAAATAGAGGGTCCGGGAGATATAATTTCGGGAGACTTTTGTCATTCATCGCCTGGGTAGCGTTAGGTGGTGGATTGGTCCGCCTAACCAGCACCACATTTAGCTCTCATCATTGCTGCATTTCGAAGCCCTGTGGGCGCTCTGTCTTGGCGAGGCGTAGGAATTTTTAATGAAAGGGTCGATGTTTGGTAGGTGAGGAGAAGCTGGAGACAGTATTTCTAATTAACGGAGCATTTTATTCGCGTTCCAGGAATGATCTGTGTCTGTGAATAATAGCATGAACAACCTTAATTTATTGGTTTCCGACACTGGCCATGGAAATGAAACGTAGTGCATGATACTGTTATTTTTTGTTAAAATAAATACCAAACACCTAATATCTTTGCAAGTTTCCTTCATATGGAACATTCATTAACATAGAAAATAATTATAAACCGAGGAGCCCGCATGTGTGACAATGTGTAGTGACTATGTCTAGTGTGTGTCTAGTAGGATAATATGGGACCCTATGAGGGAATACTTCGTTCCCTGCGCGGATAGTTGAAATCTGCATCCCCTGAAGCTGGAAAAAGACCCACGAAGAAAAATAACGGAGGAAAAAATTCAGAAAATAAAGTGCAAAGATTTACAAAATGCATATCATTAAACGTAGTAAAGCAACTAACAGATTTTATTGCCATGTTTGGGATGTATGACATTATTATCATGTCCCAATAACCAATTCTTCATTTAGTGTTTAAAAATATACAAAGACGTTTTATTTTTCAATATATATAATTCCATGTTAAAAGTTCTTTTTTTAAAAATGTTGTATGTTCCATCACATAATTAGGTTTAACTATCTTTATCCTTCTGAATCATGTCTTAAGGATTTGTGTTATGACTGGAAACCAATACATTTAGTAATTCCCAGTCCTTTTTAGTGACAATCACTGTGCTGCCTATGTAGTATCTGTCACTGTACTGTAGATGGTTTAAAACACCAAAAAGTAAAAAGATATTTTCTAGATTTTTAGAATGTCTAAAAGGCTAAAAACAGTGTCAATCCATTTCATCTGTTGTGATAAATCTAAAGAAATATTTATAACATCTGTGCCCTGAATATATTCGTCCTCGGGCAGTGCCGATCTCTCCTCTTTCTGGTTGCACTTTTGCTATTGCTTTCCCATCATTCTCTTAGGGTGCTGATTTAAACACGCTGGAATATAATATACCATTGTAATATGTATTAATTTTGTAAACAAATTACATATCTTTATAGATAAACATAAATTAAAAGTTGAGTAATTAATTATTATGTATTTATATCTGAATATTGAATTCTCTGGTTTCAGCCGAGTTGAAACAGAATACTCTCAAAATATTCTGCTGCCCCCCTAGCACTTTCTGTATGCGTAAGGTTGTGCGATGTGGCTTATACAATCCATAGTGGTTCATTTTGCGCAAAATACGAACTTTAATATAGTTATAATTCAGACGAACATCATATATTTCTTCCACACGCGCACTTAGAAAAGCGAATAGTGACATCATGTTGCCCTAATCTCAGCCTACACGGCATTCTGCACTTGGGCTGGCACTTGAGTGCAAATGCGGGCCGCGTGAAAGGGTAGGGATAAGACTCACTCTAGGTGTGGACACCGTTAATGAGAATACGCAATTCGAACCGCAGCGCGTAAATTGAAAGAGAAATTGCGAGAATTGTTGGACACGCAGTTCCAGAATCAATACCTTTTATTTTGGAATTGTTTGTTCTTGATTTTTGATAATGTACAGAATGATACTAAAACAAATTTGACATATATATAT